CTTTCCCTATTATCGATAGAAATCAAAACTAATAGTTTTTGAAAATAGAACACGAAACTTAAAGCTTGTCAAATATGTTTCTAAAGAATTTTCATTGTGCAGAATTGTGCTGTTTTTTTTGCTATATAAACAAATGTCCCTCATTCTGTTATTTTAAAATATCCTGTTTTAAATATTTTTGGGTTTCCTCCTTTGTGTGATACTCTTACTGAATTGAATGATGACTCATTTCTATGCAATTGTACCTAAAATCCTGCATTTTTTGCACTTTTTTTAAAGGAAAAAGATGATTGGATCTTTACTGGGTAGCTTTCAAAAATGATCCCAAACTGCTGTGAAAATGTAGGAGGAATTGTGGTCTGTAGTACTTTGTCATAGAAAAGTTATTATCATTGGGAATCAAGACTGAGTGCAGGAAGTTCAGGTATCAGAAAGGAGCATAATGATAAGTATTTAAATTCTGAGTGATAGTGAGCATGACAAATAAAATATTTCTCATTGGAAAAGTGATTGTAAAATTCCTCAAGCATTAGCTATGGATGGCTAATTTTTGTGAAAAAAAAAAGAGCTTTACTTTAAACCATACAGAAGTTACATAACTGGAATTGGATCCAGAATATAGACTACAGGAGGTTTTATTTCAAAGTGAAGAAAATATATGTTGCATGGGCAGACATGTGTATATTCTGCTGTTTAAGTACTGGGAATTCTGCAAGCTAGCAAGGTATGTTCAAAGATAACACAATTTCTGCATAGATCAGTTTCTGTATTACTTAATTGCTGCTGATGATACATCAAATGTTACAGCTACCTTAGCTTGGGAGTTTATGGGCATTTATAAATTTCTAAACCAAAGATTCTGTATTAAGTTTATTTGCCAAGATAGCAGTGCGAGATGTGAGTCTTCTAGTATCCAGAGTGCCTGCTAAGTTCCCAAGAGGCGATGGTTGTCAGCAGCTAGAAAGACAGAACTGTGAATATCAAAGTAGGACATACATTTCTGTGCCTGTAAAGCAGATCTAAAAACTAAGTACAATCTAATTAATCTAACCTGCAATGATGGCATTCCTACGAAGACACAGTTCATATATGAGGGATTACCTGTACATTTAGACAAACTTGATGAAGCTATTTTCAGTATTTCTTAGATCATCATGGCTCAGGAGATTATAATTTGCAGGGTAACTTTTCATTTTGCATAGCTATTAACTCTAGTCTGAAATTTGGTTTATCAGTAAATGCTATTGGACTTTAATCCTTTGATGTGAATAGAAGACTGAATTTTATCTCTTTTCACTTGCGTTGTGAAAGTCAGACAAGCAGGCAAGAAATACAGATTTCTGACACTAGCACATTTCACGCTAACACCATCATGTTCATAAGGATTTTGCATGTTCCCCATTGATAATACATCACTTCTTCAGTTTTCATATCAGTGCTGACAGCAACCAGATACAAGATAGCAATCCTTAAATTGCTATATATAAAAATAAAATCCTGCAGATTTTAGGTTATTTCTCGTAAAGAAGGCAAATGAATTGCACTGAAGACTGCTTCATTCTCATTTGTTGAAGATCTCAGATTGCTTTTTCTCTGGAAGCAGAGGGTGCTTATGTGCTTACTTATTATTTAGTTAGCCAAGATCTTTAAGGTCTGCATGATGGAATTACTGGACTTCAGTCTTTTTTTAGTTTAGTCATGTACCGTTCTTGTCTCAGCTTTGTGAATTTCATAGTATTTAGTCTGCACAGATTACCTCGTTCTTTTATTCCAAATACCAGTTTATGGTGTTTGATTTTCAGAGTAGAGTACTAAACAAAAAGGAGTGGCCTTAGAGTGACCTTAGGACCTGAAGGAACACAAGTCCGTGGGACCCAGTGAGATACATCCACGGGTCCTGAAGGAACTGGCGGCTGAAGTTGCTAGGCCACTGGCCATGGTATTTGAGAGGTTCTGGCAGTCTGGTGAGGTTCCCACAGATTGGAAAAGGGCGAACATAACCCCCATCTTTAAAAAAATGAAGCAAAGATAACCCAGGGAACTACAGACCAGTCAGCCTTACCTCTGTGTCAGGCCTAATCATGGAACAGATTCTCCTGGCAGCTGCGCTAGGGCACACGAAACGCAGTGAAGTGGTTGGTGACAGCCAACAGGGCTTCACTGAGGGCAAGTGGTGCCTGACTAATTTAGTGGCCTTCTATAACAAAGCTACAGCACTGGTTGACATGGGAAAGCAACTGATGTCATTTACCTGGGCTTGTGCAAGGTGTTTGACACTGTCCCACATGACATCCTTGTCTCTAAAAGGGAGAGACATGGATGTGACAGATGGACCACTTGGTGGATAAAGAACTGGCTGGATGGTCGCACTCAAAGAGTTGTGGTCAATGGCTCGATGTCCACATGGAGACCAGTGACAAGCGGTGTTCCTCAGGGATCTGTTCCGGGTCCAGTGCTGTTCAGCATCTTTGTCAGAAACCTGGACAATGGCAGCGAGTGCACCCTCAGTAAGTTTACCGATGACACCAAGCTGTGTGGTGTGCTGGGCTTGCTTGAGGGAAGAGATGTCATCCAGAGGGACCTTGACAGGCTTGAGAAATGGGCCAGTGCAAACTGCAGGAGCTTCAACAAGTCCAAATGCAAGGTCCTGCACCTGGGCCGGGCTAATCCCAGGCACAAATACAAAGTGGGCACAGAGTGGGTTGAGAGTAGCCCTGAAGAGAAGGATTTGGGGGTGTTGATAGACGAGAAGCTCAACACAAGCCGGCAGGGCGCTCATGCAGCCCAGAAGGCCAACCGCATCCTGGGATGGGTCAAGAGAGGCGTGGTCAGCAGGTCAAGAGAGGGGATTCTCCCTCTTTACTCTGCTCTTGTGAGACCCCACCTCGAATACTCCGTCCAGTTCTGGTATCCCCACCCACCTTGTTTTCCTGTTGCTTTATATTCTGCATGAGCTGAAATGTCCTTTACCTGATAAAGTCAAGGAATCAGATGCCCTCACCTTCCACACGCCCTTATGCTCTCTTCTTAGCTGTACCGTGGAGAGCAGTGACGATAAGGCAATTCCATGTAGCACCTGTGAACAGGACATCAAACTAACGGAGACATTAGACAAAGAATGTTGTGGTTTTAGATAGGCTCAGCGTGTGAAGTAAATAATAGATGAGTAAGGTTTAAAGCAGATTTTATGATGAAAGATGTGTTTCAACCCGAGCAAGGTTAAGGGGTGCCATCAGACTGTCTGGAAGTAACTTTTATTAATTTGAGTAGTGAAGGCTGTCACTGCACTGAGTTGAGAGTAGTGCAGATTTAAAGTATCAGAAAATTACCTGTTGTTTGTGTCTCAGGTTTGATTTCTGCAGGATTTCTATTTTTACTTCTGTGAATGTGCAGTGCAGTAAGAGCTTGTTTTGAGCCTTCTGTCACAGAGTGGTAGGGTATCTTAATCTGTACAGTTGTGATGATGATTTGTAGAGGAGTTTTCTCCCTTAAATAGAATGTCACTTTAAAGAGTATGATTGTGTTATAATGCTAGCTAAATAAGCTACAGTAAAATGAAGAATTTTGGTATTTGTTGAGATAGAAATAACCTGTTCTCACTATTTTTTGGTAAAGGAAGCATTAGCACACTGTGAATGCTTAAACAGGTGAAATTTTTACGTACTTTCACCACTGCTATATTTTTGTTTTGTTTGCAGAATCCAGTTGTATCCAGTTCCAACTGGTCAGAAATCGACGTACTGATTCTGGCTGGAACAATTGGCCATGTTTTGAGTTTAGGAGCAAGCAGTTTTATAGAAGAGGAACACCAAACCTGGTATTTTCTTATCAATACACTTTGTTTGGTGCTGTGTCAGGAACTCTGTAGAAATAATTTTCTTCTGAAAGAATGTGACCCTCAACATAGCACTGCTGTGAAACAGAATTTTGATTTTATCGGGGAAGCCTCTGAGTGCAAGAATATAGACATTCTAGCAGCAGGTAATTCAAAATTGGGTAAGGCTCCCTCTTCAGCTGAACTCGTAAAAGGATCAGAGAAGTGGATAAGCTTAGCAAGTCCATGGATCATCCTTATTTGCTGTCGGCTACTTCGATCCTTGAATCAGACAGGCGTCCAGTGGGCTCATCGGCCAGATTTTGGACATTGGTTGACAAGGTGAGTATCTCATTGTCATACTTTCTGTCTTTTTTAAAAGTTAGTGTATATTTCATTTGGTGAAATACGTTTACATTTCTGTACAGTCTGTGTTTAGAAAGTGCTGCAAACATGCAAGCCAGGTAAACAGTGAGGTAGCAGAAGGAATTTTTCACTGCTGTTTCATGAAGGAGTAATTCCTTGTGTACCTTTGCACTATAACTTATCTAATTAATGCCAATTATACATGATAGGTTTATCAGAGGCAAAAAGTAAATATTTTTCATGTATAAGTCAACAGTGTCTGGGTTGGGAAATTAAACATCGCTTAATAGAATTAAAACCTTGAAATTAGTGTGGAAGGTTCTGCTCAATTCCAAACTTTGTGAAGCTGCAGGAAGAGATGCTGCATATAGAATTCTTCATTGTCATTCACAGTTATTTAATGTGTCAGAGGAAAACTGAAGGAGTTTTTCAAACGTAGTATGATAAACAAGAAAGGATTTTTCTTTTACAACTTGGAGTACACCTTCTACTTTTTCTACTACCTTTTAGTATTGTGAAGAACTACAGTCATTATTTAGTGACAAAAAGTACTTGATATTTGAGCCGTCTTCTGTACTTCATCAGGTGGATAGAGAAGGGATACCCTGTGACTAGGTTTTGTAGACCGCAGATGAGGAGGCTGTGCTCTGTAAGATAACGAGATTACGTGTTGGTATCGTATAACATGTTGGTGAAATGTCATTCATCATTCATTAAAAGCAACATGAGCAAATGTACTAGTATGATACAGTTACTTATTGGCAGCTTCACAGATAAAATGCTAAATGCTGTGACAGGCGTGAGTGCTGAAAGACATGAGTTATGAGGAAATTTATCACATTGTAGCAGTTGGTGTATACCAAAGCTTTCACCATGCTTTCCTCCTCTGGAGTTGAGGTGAAGGATTAAGGAAGGAATGTCATATTCCCAACATTAAGTCCACATGATAGAGAACTTCTTCATTATGAGCTAAGTCAGTGTATGAGCAGGATGAAGTATGACTGAGAGGATTTTTATAATTAATCTTGAGCACCTTTCAAAAATTTATTTGCCCAGTAACTTCCTGAGCCAGATGTCTTCTTCAGTGTGCCAGCCTTTTTCTTTGGGGTGTACTAGTGCAACAATGCCATAAAACAAGGACTTGATATTCCTGCAGCTGAAAATTTGCATTTGTTTCAGAAATACGCTTTTGCTCCTGTGATCCTCTGGGAATGTTTACTGACACTTAGGAATGTTACCAGCCTTCTAAAAGTTGTGTGTGCATGCCTGGACTTAACTACCAAAGATCCAGTCTTGGTTTAAGCATGCTTTCACTTCTGATTTACTGATAGATGTGCTTATAGAGCAGCAAAACCTATTATAGCCTTATGCTGTGGGGACTCAGGGAGATCGCACAGGTAGAACATAGTCTGAAGGTAGAGCAGGTGCTTCTAGAGCTTCCTGATTTATAACAGAAGCTGGGAAATCCTAGTCTAACACTGCTGCCTGTCAGGAGCTTCCAAGCAACTTACTCAGGTAAACTAAGTTTCTTTACACTTGTTCTGGCTTAGTAATTTTCTTGACTGGGGCAGGAGGGGTAGAAAGGAGGGAGTAGGCTCTTTTTTTGCTTCCTTTTTTGTTCTTCTGGGAATTGGTGTGTTCTGCAAAATTTATATCCATCAGATGTAACAGAATTACATTATGGTTAAGGTGGGAGGGGACTTCTGGAAGTTACTTGATTTAGTCCCCCTACTCAGATCTGGAACAGATTTCTCAGATCCTTGTCCAGCTGGGTCTTTGATATCTCCAGACATGGAGATATCCCACAAGTATTCTGGACAACCTGTTTTCTTTTTCCCCCAAAATTTCCTTTTAGTTCAATTTTTGTCCATTGTCTCTTGTCCTTTTGCTGAGCACTACTGAGAAGAATATGGCTTCATCTCTTTTTAACACGCACCACCTCCAATCAGGCTGGTAAGATCCATATTGAGCCTTTTCTTCTTGAGACTAAACAGGCACAGTGCTTTGAGCTTCTCCTTGTATGACAGATACTCCAATCCTATCATATTTTCTTATGTCCTTCACTGCACTTGCTGCAGTACGTCTGAATCTTTCTCTACTGTATAACCAATAACTGGACCCAGGCCTTAGCACAGGGGAAGAAACACCCTCCTCAGCCTGCTGGTAACATTTTTCGTAATGCAGTCCCAAATGCTGTTGGTTGTCTTGGCTGCAGGGTTTTGCTGGCTCATGATCAACTCGGTGTCCATCAGGAAACTCAGAGGTATCTGTGAAAAGATGATTAGCCCCCAGTCTGTCCTGATGTGTGTATCTTTTTGTTCCAAGGTGTGGGGCTTGCCTCTGTCCCTGTTGAACTTCATAAGGTTCCTGTTGGGCCATTTCTCCGGTGTGGAGGTGTCTCTGAGTGGCAGCAGACCCATCTGCTGTATCAACCACTCCTCCCAGTTTTGTTTTGTGTGCATCTTTTGGAGGGGCACTGTCCTGTTGTCCACATCATTAATGAAGATGTGAAGGTGTTGGCTCAAGTGTCAAGCCCTGGTGTTGATCACTAGTGACTGGCCTCCAGGTGGACTTTGTGCTGCTGATTGCAGCCTTGCAAGGCTAGCAGTTGACCAGTTTTCAGCCCACCTCACTGTCCACTTTTGTCTCCTGGACTGCTTTGGTTTACCTGTGAGGATGTTATGGGAGATGGTGTTAAAAGGCTTGATAAAGCAGAAATACAAAACATTGCCTGCTCTTCCACTGAGCAGCTAGTTGTCTTATCTCAGAGGTCTGTCAGATTGATTAAGTATTACTTACCCTTTATAAAGCTGTCACTACTCTATTTTAAAAGCTGTCTGTCTCCACCTTCAGTAAGGCCGAAGTACAGTGGCTAGGTATGAAAAACAAAACTTCAGAATTTTACAGGTGAATTGCTCTCTGTGCTTCCCTCACATTGGGTGTATTTTCTTGGGCCTTGAAGCACGTAGAAGAAAAAAACATCCTACAGCTATAGTCTGAGGCTTCAGCTGCTTGTTTGGCTATAATAGTATATTAAGAAAGCTCTTTCCTTGCAAGGCAAGATACCTGCTGTCTTGCTCCTCCCCTCACTGGCCCTGTATTTTAAAGAAAACAGCTCTTGTTTTGTCAGTGTGGTGAACTAAGTCATTGAATAGCTGTGTCTGGAAAAATAACCTAAGATGGTGAGGGAAACTCATGGCTTTCGGATGGATCACCTCCCGCTCTGACTTACCATCGAGTATCACAGGCAAGTGGGTTGGCTTAGTAACAGGACTGGAGGAAAACTGCTGTTAAAATTCCTGTAGAAATAAATTGTGGAAGTATCTCCACTTGTTGTTTATGCCTGCAGCACTTCAACTTTTTCTTTCTGCCATCGTCAATTATTCCTCACAAAGATCTACGTGCCTTTTAAGTCTGACTGACGAAGAAGCAATGATTCACAAGCTTTTGGGGACTTCAGAAAGATCATGGAACAGTCCAGAGTGCTGTGCCATGGCAGGCTAACAGAATGTGTCATTGGAGCTGCTACAGTTCTGCCGTCTCCCTTTTGTTGGTGTAACTACTTCTGTGTATTCAGGGGGCAGGTGTACTTACATAGCCCTGGTAGCTCTGGCACAGGTTGGCTTGGGCTGCTGTAGAGCTACATCCTAACTTAAATCGGTGGAGTAGTTTTTAGCCTAAACAAGAGAATATGATGTATGTCATCATGCTGACATATACTTCAGTTACTTTATAGGGTTAAATAATTGCCCAAATAGCACCCTTTGAAGTGCACAGTTTTTGGCTGTCTGTGGATTCATATTTGGCAAGCATGCTTGCATTTTCTTTGGTTGGAGGTATTAACCTCTTTGTTGCTTTTCCTTTGCAAAGGAACAGCGTGGTAGAGATTTCTGTTTCCCTAGTGTTTTGATCAGGATTGAGATGATGTGTATTCCTTATAGCATAAATTAAAAGTTGGTGATAAGCTGAGTTGCATAAAGCCTTATTCCTCTTCCCAAAATGCATTGCTAATCTGTAAGGTTGATTGTTACTCTATTTTTAGTACATGTTTAATTTGGATAGTTACATCTTAATAGCACAATTTTTAGTAATAGGAAATTAGAACCACACTTAGATCATATGTACCCTTGTTAGATTGAGTTAAAACAACTCAGGCTTTTACTAGCCAGCCTTCTATTTTATCTCTAAGATAAACTAATGAGCATACTACCCTCATTTTTTTTTTTTACCTATGCAAATAGATATCTGTGCTTATATTTAGACTGATAATTTGCTTATCTGGACAGTGCTTAAGGGGTTCTGCATTTGAGACTATTGTGCAGGTTCATGCATGGAAAAATATAAGCAGTGAAACACAGAAAATCAGTCTACTGGTAGCATGTTGAATTTGGCTACTAGGGATGCACTCATCAGTGCTGAAATCAGGAAAATATTCTTTGTTATTTACAGATGGGTCTGTGAAACCTGCTACAAAGAGAAAAGAATATCTAGGTAGGAAAAGGAGTAAAAGAAAATTAGACAGTAGATGAAGCAGAAAAGAACATGCAATCCCTAAATTTGCCTTTTAATTAGTTGGTGTTCAGTTAACTTCAGTTGGCTGTTCATCTTGGTCAGAGCTGCTATTTTGAAGATATCAGAGCTGCTACGTGGCTCACTGTGGAAAGGGTGACGCTGCCAGTGACAGCATCAGTGTGTAGAGAACTGATGAGAAGCAGCAGCACAAGATGATAAAGTTTTCATCTACTAACATACTTAACCATCCCCAGGTGTCCTTCCCCGCAAAGTCAGCTCACCTCGTGACTTCTGTGTATTCTGTTTTACTTAATAGAATGAAAGTACAAAATTAAAAAAGGCTTTATCCACATAAAAATTAATTGTGTGCACATTTATAGTTCCTTTAACTCAACTTTTTTTTTGCAGTAGGGAGGTGAGCTCAAAGCAGTGGGAGGAAATGTCTTTAATGTTCGTTCTGATAC